AACTCCTGCGCAATCTTTGGACTCTCTGCTGCCCTGCATTCGCCTGTGGCTGGTGTCCTCCGGAAACCCCTAGGCCGCCAGCTCCGGCAACAGAGGACAGCCAAGGAGAGACACGACGACGACGACTCAATTCAGTCCCTCCCCCCAAAACTTACGTGACCGCATCCCATTGTACAAAAAAAGCTTACACGTAGTGCGACACCTCTATTTCACACTCTCTTTTGCTTGCGCCATCTCCCATTGGCCATCCGTTCTCATCGGCAAAGGCGCGGCAGGGGCTTGACGGCCATCTGCACTCAACTTCAGTCAGGTACACACTCAAAAACGAGTCAAAGTACTCAGGTACTCCCAGTCTTCGAAACCCCCCGGACTCAAGGTTCCTGCCTCTTTCGCCTCCCACTCAGCCTCGTTTTCCCCTTCCCGGTCCTGGTCTCTTCCGGTCCGCGGACGCTCATCCAACAGTTCCATTTTAGCTGCACTCGTTTCCCCGATCCCCGCATCGCGCGCTGCGATAATCGCCAGATACCCTTGGCCAGCCGACTGCCAGTTCGTCAAAGTCGCGGCTGACGAGGCACAGTCCGCGAAACTTGGCCCAGCTGGCAGCTTGGTAGCCTCATCCGCCAAAGCTTGACTGTCCCTAGCCCATCCATGGGGCAAACTGGCACTCAGTAATAATGTTCGAATACAACACACACCGACAAGCACCTCTGGAGCTTCTTCTGCGGGCCATTTCTTCCCGAAATCTTCTAGCGGTCGCCCTGAACCATGGGTGATAAGCTCTCCAATCCAAAGAGATCCTCACCCGATCAAGGTCTGATCGCACGTCAAGCCTTGTGTTACGTTACGTGGACTTGCGTCAACGGTGGGCTCGTCAAATCGTTCTCGCAAAGTCAAATGCCCGTCGCGTCTGTCCTTACTTACACTGCTCTGATACCTGAGTCTGCACACTTTCAACCTCAGGCTTGCGGTTGTACGCCAGTCGGAGTGATTGGGTTTGATGAGATGAACCGAGCAGTTGGTTTTTCTCAGACGGTCTCTGACGAGGGCAATAATCCTCCGGCACCATGATGACGAGTCAGCGGCCGAAAACTAGAGCACGAGTCCAAGTCGGCTCAAGAGGGCCTGGCCGCGCGCCGTAGCCACTGGCGCTATCAACCGCCATTCTAACACAATCTGGCCGCCGTCAACTCATCACCAGTTCTTGGCAATCTCACAACTCGACAAGTTGAATCCATCACGAACGACAAGGGTCTCTCTTGCAGGCCGGTTCCTGGCGATTTGAAATCTCAATACAGTTCCTGGGACTCTTCTCCAGAGACTCCCCACAGCCTGGAACAGAGGCCCTGATCGGCGACCACGATGCTTTTCGCGGGCGACCCAAATTGGGTGCAGGCTGGATGTGTCAACACCCCTGGTGTGGGCCTTAGCGGCTCAGTGACGCGTCATCCACCTTGTCTCACGTCGGTTCTCCCCAATGGTGGCTTGCGTGTTGTTCCAAACCCGTTGCCACCCCACCTCAGACCGCACTCCTTCTCGTCTCGAACTGCCACAAAGGCGTAGCGAGCGACTTGTCGAATCCCCATTCTCGCCTTATTCACAAATTAGAGAGCAAAGGTGTTGCTTGATTGGCCAGGGGCCAGAAATGCCCAAGCTTCCCGCTGCTCAGAAACCTCTCATTCCATCAGTCCACGTCGGCTGTCGGCAGACTTGCCAAGGGGCCCTGCATCGAGCCGGCCAATAGTGCCTCTCCCACCTCCCGTCTGCAGAGGGCGGCATCTTCGACTTCCAATTGTGTTGAAAGGAACAATAGCAGGATGCATTTGGTGACGAGGGCTGTATGGTGGAAACGAAACAGCAGAGTGGTGGGAACGACAGGTGAGGGTTGGTGTTGGGCGGTCTGAAGGTGGCCCACGATGGGACGAACGACCCAAAACCACCTCACTCCCGTGGACCATGGTCCCCCGACCCTACGGAGATGCAGGCATTGCATGGAAAGTCGCCTAGTCCGTCCAGGTCGGCATAGCCCGATTAATCCAGGTACAGATTGCGCTCTCTTTCACTTCCCTGGGAATCACGAGCCGGACTCCGAGTTACGCGAACTTCTAAATGAGAAGGACGTCAACTTCTTTCCGTCGCCTGGATGCGGTCTTGACGCGAGTGCCAAGACGCCGACTCATGTCCATAAAGACGTGTCGTCTATCCAGAACCTCAGGATGTCAGCCAGATTGGACTCCGCCCCGGGCTGCGTATTCTGACAACCTCTTGGCCCCCATTTCGCCCCTTCTTCTCATCCGTGAAACCGGGAGGTCACGATTCAAACATCGAGATGACGAACGCTCATCCCAACTTCTCCTTCTGTTCTTTGTTTTCACGATGTTGTCACAAACCGCCCACAAAGGAGTACCCGCCCCCAAGTTTCCGGGCTCGCTTTGGTGTTGGATGGTACGGTAACCGCGCTGGCGTCTCACAGCCTTTCGGTCTGCCCCAGTCACGGGATCATGTCTAGCGACATTGCCTATTCTACCTACCGAGGGGGGAAAAGGAAACGGCGAAACCTTGCGGCCGTCGATCTCGTTGTCCTCGGCCCCAGCCTATCGGGGCTGGCTTGCGTGGTCTGACCCGGCCGGTTCGTTTGTCGTCGGTTTGTGTGCGAAGGAGGACGGAAGGGAGGGGGGTGCTCCAGAGAAAGCTCGAGGCGGGACGCGCGTACCCTAGACCCTTCCCTTCCTACTCATCCTTGCAGATCAGACATTGGACCACAGCGAGAGAGACACAACAGTCTGCTAGTCGTAGACTACCTTGCTCTATCCGTATTAGCCTCGTCGATACCCGCTCCCGGCGGCCTTTTCTTCGCTTCGCTCGTTGGCGAGAATGTTAAGGTATCGGTTCACAAGGGAAGATGGTCTTTTGAGGACAAGCCAGCATGGCAACATGGGCAAAAGACTTGACTCCCTGCCCTTGTCCCTGGTTCCCCTTCGTTTGGTTCTTCAGATATCTGGTCTTCTCAAAGTGTGACTAAGCTGGTCATCTTCTTTAAACGGATACATCCCGGTGGGAGGACGCGGCGGTGCCGGTGCCTCGGACTCGCTACGTACTAAGTACAGGCAGACGTACGGGTTGATTACGACCCCCACACTGGCCGCGACGCCAAGCGGATATTTGATCCCGTTTTCTGAGCACGCTCGTCCGTATAATGAAAGACTGATCGTCGGATTATGGATTTCACCGCGTAGACGGCAGCATGGGCCTCTGACTCTCTACCCGTCTGCCGTCTGTATCCGACGGTGTGAACTTTTTGAGATGACGGATGACGCAGCAGCAGAGACCGGAATCGTGGGGGAGGGGGAGAGCGGATTTTGTTTCTTCGCTACGGACGGCAATGACGATGTTCGGACCAGTGTATCGAGATCCCGGCACAGCACGGGGTTCCCGGGCGTTGCAAGCCTCGTTTAACTCTAGCTGTCAGAGTATCGAAGGTGGATGACAAGGTGCCGGGAAGAGGGAGCTTGTCAACATCGACAAGGACGCGGCGTCAAGGTTGGAGAAAGGCGAGGTTGAAGCTTAAACTCGTAAGCTCCCCTTGATAGTCCGTTTGGATTGCGCCGCCTCCGGGACCCATGGCCTACGTGGTGGTCCTTGGCCGGAGCCAGACATGGGATGATCATCTTTTCGACTGCCCAGGCTTATCACGGTGAACGCGAGTTCTGCCATCTACGGCGGGATCTCGTGCCGATTTAGCGGGATGGACACACCGAGGCAGGCGCCCTACGCGCGAGCAGCTTGTCAACCTGGCTCTTTTCCCGCGGACAATGCCCACAGACGACTTGTCATCGGGCTTCGCCCGGGGGAGATGGGGACAAGCCCGGGTGATGGGGGTTTACGCAGGGCTTGGCCTCCTCCCCCTCTGTTCCATCCGTCTGTGGACGCCGGGACGGCGAGACAAGCTTTTGCACCTGTTGCGTCCGCCGCGGGGCGGTCAGGCCTAGGCGAGCGTCACTGTGTCTTATGGAAGGGCCTGTGTAGTAGGTTCATGGCCAACGTTGGATTCCCGAATCAGACATCTCGCCCACTTGGAGTGTTGTCGTCCGTCTGCGCCCATCTTCCGGACGGGAAACGGCACACATCTCACGAGAACTTCGCACTCAGTCTCAGCGGCCTGAGCTCGAGGAGGCAGACAATCTTATTGAGAATGTTTCAAAATAAGAGGACTTTTCTCTAATGCCATTACCCTCATATCTTTGAGAACTACTAACAGACGCGGATGAGATCATGCGGGGGGTTGGATGGGCCACCTACAGAGCAGGCAGGCTGATGGAGCCAAGCACACAACTACTTTTGGCCCTCCCCCCTTTCACCGCCAAGACTGCAAGACTACGCGGCCTCCCTTCGAGGATTTCCGACGCCTCGTACCCTTTTTTGCGTACATCTCCCACTCTTTTTCTTTTCTTGCATATTTACTCCCAAAGTGAGGAAAAACTCCCTTGTCCATGATGACTAACCAATTTTGACGACATTTGTAGCTGTGTGTCTCTCGGTCTACAGAAGGATATTGGTAGACAACCGTATGATACAGCAACGAGACGAACTAGATACGTAAAAGTAAACGAAGAAACATGAGTAATTGTAACGGCGATCCTTTAAACTTCCCTCCTGTTTTCCTATGCCTGATTTTCCTTTCTTTTCTTTTTCACCTTCGCCTATTGGCGGTGAGGAGAGAGGCATAGCCCAGCCCATCGAGGTGGGTGTGTGAGAGATAGACAAACACGCACCAAAGGAGGAGGAAAGGGTAGCGCCGAAGTTGACCGAGATTTTGTGTGGGCTTCGATCTGGCCATTCATCCTGCGCGACTGACCTGACCTGACCTGCCTTTCTGCGTCCACATCTTTGGGGGCTCGTACTCGCTCGGCAAACCGAACAAAGCCCCCCCTCTCTCCCTCCACCCTCTTCCTCCTCCTCGGAGGTCCTGTCTTCCCAGCTGTGCCTATGACGCTGCCCGGGAAATGAGCGCCCCGCTGAGATGCGTGCCCACGAGGGGAGGTTGGTTGGTCGGCCAGAGGGGCAGGGCAGAGCGTGTCGGACACACACTCTCACCTCTCCCATTCGTCGGCGCCAAAGTACCTCTCGGGCAGGTCCACCTCCCACAGCGGCCGCTCGACGAGGACGGCCTCGAGCGAGGCGGCGCCGGTGCCGGAGAGCGGCGCTATGCCCAGGATCGGACGGTACTTGTACGTGTGCCACCAGCGGGTCTTGCCGGCGCCGTCCTGGGTCTCCGTCTCCGGCTCCTCCTGGCGGCCGCGGAGCGTGGCGAGGCCGGACTCGGGCTCTTCCGAATCAGAACCCGCGGCGGCGTCGTCGGCGGAGTCCGCGTCCGAGTCGACGTCCATCGCGTCCGCGGGGGCGCGGGCCTCGATGTCGTCTTGCCACTCCTTGGTGCCCTTGGCCGCGACGAAGCGGTCGACCTGCGCGGGGACGATGGCGCCGATGGACATTTTGGAGCCGGCGCCGGAGTCGGGGCCCTTGCGCTTGCGCTTGGTGCCCGCGGCGTGCGCGTGGACGACGACGGCGGTGTCTGGGTCGGCGACGGCGACGGGGGCGGAGAGGTCTTGGGAGAGGTCGAGCATGAAGAGGAAGTTGATGCCGTAGATCCAGACGCGCGGGCCCTGCCAGAGGGCGCCCTTGGCGAGGTCGCGGGTCTCGCGGATGGTCGCGGGCAGGCGGGAGACGGGGTTGCGGCGGGACCAGGCGTTGAGGGAGCCGGCGGCGGGGTTGAAGATGAGGATGTGCCAGGCGGTTGTGACGGCGGCGAGGGTGTACTCTGGGGTGTTGCTGGCGGTGGTTGCGAGGTCCGGGGAGAAGGAGAGGACGACGGGGGTAGCGGGGAGTTTGGGGAGGAGGGAGGCGGTTGGGTTGCGGATCCAGCGCTCCGTGGCGTCGGCGGCAGCATCGTCGGAGTCGCTGTCGGAGGAGGAATCTTCCTCCTCGTCGTCTTCAGCGCGCGGGGACGGGGTGCCGAAGACCCAGGTGTCGATGTAGCCGGCCAGGTCGGCGGCGGCGAGCATGCGGCTGTCCGGGGAGAAGGCGAGGTGCGCGACGGTCCTCTCGTAGCTGCCGAGGCCGCCGTGGGACTGGTGCTTGGGGACGTTGCGGCGGAGGCGGGCTACGGCGCGGGGCTTCTCGATAGCCACGGCGCCGGAGTCGGCGTCGCGCGTGATGCGCGCGACGAGGACCTTGGAGCCGTCCTGCACCGCGGCGAGCCAGGCGCCGTCCGGGGAGAGGATGACCTTGCTGGCGCCGTTGGAGGCGAAGGAGGCCGGGACGGGGATGGTGGAGACGGCGACGTCGGAGGGCTTGGTGGGGTTGCCGTCGTGGCGGAGGTGGAAGGCCTTGAGGGCGGTCGGGGTGGCGACGGCGCAGAGGGAGCCGTCGGGGGTGATGGCGGCGGAGGAGATGGAGGAGTCGCCGTTGACGAGTATGGTCTTGAGGAGCTTGCGGTTGGCGTCGAGGTCCTTGTCCTTGTCGGCGGGGGCGACGCCGTCGCCGAAGAGGCCGTCGAAGGAGTTTTGCAGCTTCCAGACCTCGACCTGGTTGTCCCACCAGTTGATGAGCAGGCGGGCGTCGGGCGCGCTGGCGAGGGGGGGCGTCTGGGGGAGGTGCGGGAGGGTTCTGTGGTTCTCGCGACCGAGTTCTTTGAGCGGGAGGACGACGGGGGAGGCGTCGGGGCCTTTTGGGGTTCAGTTAGCGACTCTGTTAATGGAATGTGTGACGGGAATATGTGAAAGCTTACCTCCTGTGACGACGATGCTGACGCTCCTGCTCTCGAACGAGGCCATGGCCTTGACGTCGTGCTCGTGGTATTTCCTGCTCCAGACCTTGCCCCATCTGGCGCCGTTGCCGGAGGTCTTCTTGTAGAGGACGGTGCGGCGGTCCATGCCGCCGCTCATGATGGCGGAGCCGTCGGCGCTGGTGGCCAGGCTGAGGGCGTCCTGGCGATGGCCCTGGATGCGCTGCGCCTGGGTGTACGTCTTGCCGTCCCAGATGCAGATCTGGCCTGCCGAGTCGGCGGACACAATATCGCCTGACGGCAGCGTCTTGACGCTCCAGACGATGATGTCGGCGCGTTCCCTGGCGCCGGCGTCCTTGCGGTCCTTCTCGGGACCGATGGTCATCTTGCTGAGGCAGGAGCCGCGCTTGATGTCGTAGACGCGGAGCGTCGAGTCGGAGCAGCCGACGACGAAGGTGTGGCGCGACTGGAAGGCGATGCTGACCATCTGGACCTTCTTGGTGGGGGACTTGACGAGGATGCGCTGGAAGCGCAGCTCGCCGTCCTCGACGGAGTAGAGGGCGAGGACGCCGTCGATGGTGCCGGCGACGAGGCGGGTGACGGGGTCGGAGGGCGAGGCTGGGGGCTGGGCGGCGAGGCACCAGATGTCGCCGTGCTGGCCGGAGGCGTGGCGCAGGGGCCGGCCGGTCTCGAGGTTCCATTCGGTGACGGCGGAGGTGTAGCCGATGCTGAAGAGGCGCGCGCGGCCTGGGATGGCGGTGCCGCCGGGGGCGGAGGGGGTGTCGTCGGGGTCGGTCACCCAGACGAGGCCGTCGACGGAGCGGTCTGCGCCGGAGCGGAGGACGGTCTCCTGGAGCCAGGCGCCATTGAGGGGGTTCCAGATCTCGATGTCGCCGTTCGCGCGGCCGACGGCGAGGCGCGAGAGGGCGGAGTGTTGCTTCGTGCGGGCGGAGGGGTGGGAGAAGGCGAGGGCGTTGATGGCGGAGGGAGGGTACGCGATGAAGCGGCAGCGGTGGAGGTCCATTGTGGTGTGTGGTTTGGCCTCCTGGCCGGGGCGACTAGAAGTAGAGAGGGTATCAATTGAGCTCGATCGAGGGTATGGGTTGCCCGTAGAGAGTGAGGCAGCGGTTCGTCGTCGTCGTGGGGGGTTGTGAGGCTGGCGATGTTTTTTGGGTTCGCAGCTCTGCCTCGTCGCTGGTCTGGGGAAAAAAGAAATAAAAAAAATTACGGCTGCCAAAATTTTGTCGGCGTTCGGAGCGATGAAAAATAATTAAGGTGTGGTCTGTGCACGGGGTGCCCCTCCACCCCGCCGGCGGGAGGCCATCTGAGAGGATGAGACCGAGAGAGGGCCAAGCAACGGCCAAGCAGGGACTTGGCTGATTCTCTCTGTGCCTTGGTGATTGCGTGCATTGCTGCGGCTGTGCTTTATTCAAACGGACACTGTTTTAGTGTTGGGCTCCATCGGGAGTTTCTGTTTGTTGGTTTAAGTGTTATCAGCAAGGGAATTGAGCATGGTGTCATACGGCATAGTGTTCTCTCTCGTTGCAAACACAGGAGGTGACAGTGCCGCGCGTCATTGGGCTTCCACCAGTTGACGGTTGCCAATGGGACCCCTTCTGCAGCGGCCACCACCTCAGGTTCCATATCTTAGGTAAGTCGCCTTAGTTCTGAATGCGAGCTGCGGGCTGACTGTTCAACGATTGGAATGCAGGTGGTGGAAAGCGCCGAGCTTGTCATTGAATGCGGCCATCTCCGCAACTTGAATGGCCTGTGTCAATTGTCAGAATGCAAAAGTACCTCTTGGTTTTTATCTCTCTTCAAAGACTTGCCTCAACTAACTTGAAAGACTCTCAAGGTAGCGAGGAAAGGTTTACTGAAAACATTGGATTCAAAACAACGAGCCTCAGAATTACATCAGCGTGTCTCCATACAGCTCTTAAAACCAACCACAAAAAAAGGGCGATTCATGCCCCCCTCCGCCCCTCATTCCGCTGTCTGAATCTCAACTGCGACACCTAAAAGTCGCATTGAAACTTCACAACCCCTGCCAACCCGCCCGCCGCCTTATCAATCAGCAAGCTTAGCTAGGGATAACTGCCTTGGCTAGCCTCTCTCGCGGTTGCAGCTTTCCCAGCTCAGGCTTGCCGAGTCCCGCCGATTCGTCATCCTCCCGCCAAACCAAACACTGAACCGCTGCGTGTGCTACCCCTCCCCCTCCTCACCACCCCTCCACCCTCCACCCCCTCCGAGCTTTGTCACGATCGCGCGCCGCTCGTCACACCCGGAGTCCGACCTCGCCTGCAGATTCTTCTCCGATTGCACAGCGCGCAAACTCCAACTTTTGCTCTCGTCGCATCCCCTCAGCGACGACGAATTGACCAACGATACTTCTGCACGCCAACCCCGCGCCACGTCTGTGAACAACCAGCGACCATGGATTTCAACAGCTCCTCGCCCTTCCCCGAGGGCGTCATATCCTTCCTGGATACCGACTTGTACAAGCTGACGATGCAATGCGCCGTCTTCAAGTACTTCAGAGACGTTCCCGTCACCTATGCCTTCACAAACCGCACACCCGAGAAGAAGCTGTCGAGAGCCGCCTTTAACTGGCTGCAGGAGCAAATCCGAAGTGAGTGACTCCCTGCCCCTCCATCATGATGCGCGATTGAACATTTGACTCACCACACGCGCAACACCAGAACTCGGCAACATCTCCCTCTCCGACGAAGAGTACCGCTTCCTCAAAACCCACTGCACCTACCTGACCGACGAGTACGTCAACTTCCTCAAGGAATTCCGCCTGCACCCGAGCAAGCAGGCCATCGCGACCTTCCACCCCGTCGGCGAGGACACGGGCGCCGACTCCGACATTGGCGACCTGCACGTCGAGATCAAGGGCGCGTGGCTCGAGACCATCCTCTACGAGATCCCCCTGCTGGCCCTCACCTCCGAGGCCTACTTCCGCTTTATGGACACCGACTGGAGCTACGAGGGCCAGGAGGAGCAGGCCTTCGACAAGGGCATGCGCCTGCTCGAGGCCGGCTGCACCTTTTCCGAGTTCGGCACCCGCCGCCGCCGCGACTACCACACCCAGGCCCTCGTCTTCCGCGGCCTCGTCAAGGCGAGCAAGGAGGGCGAGAAGAAGGCGCTGCCGGGCAAGCTGACGGGCACGAGCAACGTCCACCTGGCGATGCGCTTCGGCATCCCGCCCGTCGGCACCGTCGCGCACGAGTGGTTCATGGGCATCGCCGCCATCCACGACGACTACCGCGCCGCGACGGAGCTGGCGCTGCGCTACTGGGTCGGGTGCTTCGGCGGTAAGCTCGGCATCGCGCTGACGGACACGTTCGGCACGCAGGAGTTCCTGCGCTCCTTCAGCCAGCCGGTGCGCGCGCTGGACGGGGAGAACGACAGCCCGTTCAAGAAGGCGGACGGCACGCTGCAGACGTACGCGGAGCTGTTCCAGGGCGTCAGGCAGGACTCGGGCGACCCGGCGGACTACGTCAAGATGCTGCGGCAGTACTACGACAGCCAGGGCATCACGGAGAAGAAGACGATGGTGTTTTCCGACTCGTTGGACATTGACAAGTGTCTGCAGTACAAGGCCATTTCCGAGGCGGCGGGCTTCACGCCGACGTTTGGCGTGGGCACGTTCCTTACTAATGACTTTAAGCACCTCAAGACGGGCACCAAGTCTGTGCCGTTGAATATTGTGATTAAGCTGAGCTCCGCAAATGGGAAGCCGGCCATCAAGATTAGGTGAGTGCTTCGGGAAAGAGAGGCTTCAGGGGTGTTGATGCTAATGAGTCTTGCAGTGACAACATCGGAAAGAACACCGGTGACAAGGACACCGTGCAAAAGGTCAAGAGCCAGATTGGCTACGTCGAGAAGGACTGGCAGGGCGGCGACGAGACGCAGAGATGGGGCAAGGAAGAGAAGGCATAGACGTCACGGAAGGTGCTGCTTTTTTCGGGGGTAGAGCGCGTCTGGCGACAGATCCGGGGAAGCCGAGACAGACATCGAAAGATGAGAGAGAGACCGCGCTGGAGAGACTTTATCAAGACTATGGGAGGCATCCAATGTTGGCATTGGCGAAGCATCGATTATAACGACAGTTCGGATAGACGGTGAGAATTCTACGAAATTTTGGACAAGGCATCGGTTGAGTAAAAATTGTTACTCAATAAGTGTCGATAATCGTGCTGCCTTGTACGATTCCAAGGCCGCTTTGAATTCTGTAAGTGACCTTCAGATTCATCATCTGCAGAGCTGGCTGAGGAGATATAGGAGAGCTGGTATTAGCAGGCGGCGGGGATGAGGGTTCGCAGCACCACGCAGTCATGGCCTTCATTCCGGCGGTTCGAGTCAATAAACAGGGCAACATCAAACGAGGCATTACTGCTTCTGACGAATGCAAAGAATGGGAAGTGTGCGGAGGAATTACTTCCCCAGTAGCCATTTAGATGACATCAAGCAGGTGCAAATGCAGGCTTGCCTACCTCCTGACCTTCATGGCAACAGGTACAACCTCCGTCTCCTTCCCTTGGTCGCAATGCTTCCTTCTTTAACCCGACCACCCCAGGGAAGAGAGCAGCACCCCCTTCCCATCATGTCACGGATAGCTTCCCTGCCTCCATGACGCCTTCCTGAAAGCGTTCTTACCTGGAATCTGCCAGGTTCGGTCATGGCAGAGTATATCATCCGTCTGCCTCTCCATCCCCCCGACGTCTCCTCTTCTTCTCCCATCAACATCACCACACGACCTCCTCACATCCCACTCTCGCTACAATTTTGGCTCGTTTTCTTGGAACCCGGTTTTGGAACCTTCATTCCCACTGGCAGTCCTCATCAGAACAAATCTCGTCATTTCACTCATTCCATTCGTGCTTTGATAGCCCCCATCGCCCATCATGTGGCCCACCTGTCCTTCGGGACCAACGCCTCGACAGAGGCAGACGACAGTCATCATCAGTCTGATCGTCCTGGCTCTTCTCACAGCCTTTGCCGTTACCCAGGCAGTCCAGCCAATTCTGGAGGAAGACCACTCCAACCTCGTCGCCAAAAGCAATCCAGATCTTGAACGCAGACAATTCTTCGGCATCGACTCCCTTCCAGGTAGCATATTTCGTCCATCTGCTCCAGCTCCCAATCAAGACCAGCCAGCCATCACCACTCCTCTTCCTGCAGCTCCTACAGCTGGCGACAATCGACCACAAGGCCCTCTCGGTGCTATTGGTGGCGTCGTCGACGGCGCTTTGAGCCATATCACAAGCCATGCTGGTGGGATCATCGCAACCCTGACTTCTAGACGAGCAGGAGGCGCTGCCGCTCCCGCAGCTTCAACAGTCAACATTGGCGATGTTGTTGGCACCTTCATCGATGGAACACCAGTCCAGAGTCTGGTGAATGCAGCTGCCAGCGTTGGCGGCAGTGTAGCTTCAGTCGTGCCGTCAATTCTGTCGGGCGTTACAGGACCACCTAATCCTCCCGTATCCTCAGCTGGTGGTCAACTGCCAGTCCCCATTCCTGGCGTGACCGAGGCTCCTGGTAACGGCAATCTTCCCACCATCATGGCCACACTTACACAACCTGTTGGCGCCGCGACATCTCTCCTGAACAACCCACCTACCTCAGTGCCATCAGCTGTCGCTGCTGTGACAGATTCTGAGAATATCATGACTTCTATGGTCCCTATCGGCAGCTCCGATCCTCTCACCAACCCCGTCATACCGGATTTGAGCAGCAACTTGGGTGCGGCCACAGTCATCCTACCAGAGTCATCGACACTTCCTACGGATCTCGGTGGGCTCAACGCACCACAGCTTCCCGACGACTCAACCGCCTTATCAAGTGTTTTAGCTTCCGTCTCTGAAGCTGTCAGCGAGGCCACCACTGCGATCCCAATTGTGGGAGATGCTCCAAGCCCGGTCACTACTCTGGGAGATGCAACAGAGTCTGAGCTGTGCACTGTCGTCAACATCGCCAAGGGTATTCCAACATTTCTTGCCGTCCCTTGCTCTGCTGCTCCTTCGAGGTCGTCAAGAGTTCCTGCGTCGGACGCGACGCCGGCAAGTGGAAGTGCTGTTGTTTCATCCACATCAGTCCCGTCTGCGCCATCTGCCTCTCAGCCAGCGAATGGAAACACAGGCAGTGCTTCTCCGTCATCTCCAGCTGTCGGAGCTACCTCTCAAGGTTCCTCAATGACAGCAAGTGCTGCTGGCGGACAACAATCATCTGCTGCCTCTTCTGCTGCCCCATCTGCTGCTCCGTCTTCCGGTGGTCAGTCCTCACCCATCTCTCCATCAGCTGGCAATGGCCAGTCTTCGCCGGCTTCTCCGTCCTCTGCCGGAGGTGGAAGTCCTGCACCCACGGCATCATCATCTCGCCCTGAGACTTCAAGCCCGAGCAACGGCCAACCGCAGAACACCGATCGAGGAGGTCAGCCACCCGCACCATCGGGCAGTCCGGCGACACCGCCTGCACCTGGTAATTGTCATCACGCGGAGGTAACTAACAAAGCTAACATGATTTCCTAGCCAATTCTGCTTCTGCGAACCCTGGCCAGTCGGATGGAGCTGCTCCTGCTCCTGCTCCTGCGTTTCCTTCAGCACCTGCAGCGAGCCCTTCAATAACCGCCACCCCAGAAACTTCGCCAGCCGCCTCACAGGCCCCTTCGCAAGCCCCTTCGCAAGCTCCTGCTGGGACGCCAGGTGGAGGCAACAACTCTGGAGCATCTCCAACAAGTCAGTCCGGCGGCATCTTTTCTGTTGAAGAACCAGAAGCCCCTGCACCATCGGGAAACGTTCCGCCATCCACCCCGGTCATCCCCATTTCCGACTGCCCTGCAGTGGTTCAATGTCCAGCATGCCCAGCGTCTCCCTCCAAGCCACCCTCTGGTTCTTGTCCCTGTCCGGGAAGGGGATATTCATGCTCGGAATGCCTCGACGGCTGGTTCTGCCCCCCTCAGGAGACGCCAATGGTACCTGCTCCGTGCGGAATGGGCTGGCCTTGTTATCACTGCAAAGGTGGCTGGTACTGTGCCCCTTCGGACGCAGGCATGGTATCTGGAGGCGCCAACGGGCCGGCCAATGTAGTCATCACCACCGTGACTGCTTTCGTTCTTCCTGGACCTACCGCAGCTCCCGGAGATGGCGGCAACGGTTCTGGCAACGGCTCCAACAATGGCAATGGCAACAGCAACGGAAATGGCAATGGGAATGGTAACGGCAACGGCAACGGTTCTGGAAGCGGTACCGGTAACGGTTCCAATGGCGATGGGGCTTCATCAACTTCCTGCTCCACGGCAAAAGATTCTCAGCAGACGGACACATCTGGAAATGGAGATGGCAACAGTAGCCCAGCAAGCAACCCCAATGATGGCTCTGCCAACGGCAATGGAAGTCCCAATAATGGCGACCCAGGCAACGGGAAGCCTCCCGGCGACGGTTCCGGCAACGGCAATGGCGCTGCTTCGACACCCTGCTCTACGGCAAACGGAGGTCAGCCAACGGGCAATGGATCTGGAAATGGCGCAGGTACGGGCAACCCACCAGCCAAGGATCCCAACAATGGTTCTGGCAATGGCTCGGGTGACAAAAATGGAGGCTCTGGTACCGGAGATCCCGCTGCTACGCCCGCGAATGCTGGTCCTGCCAACGCCGCAACGACGCCGTGCACAACTTACAATGGTGGCCAACCTACCGGCGGTGTTGGGGCTGGAGCACCTCCGAGTAGCGCACCTCCTACTGATCCCAACAACGATTCCGGCGCGGGTAATGGCTCAGGGAATGGCTCTGGCAACGGCTCGCCTGACACTTCTGGCAATGCTGCACCGGCCAACTCCCCTGATGGAAATGGAGCGTCCCCTGCACAATCTCCTCCCAATCCCAACGCCAGCTCTGGAGGCAACGCTGGCAATGGTGGCTCTCCTGCAGATGGTTCCGGCAACGACAAAGGAAACTCTGGTGACGGAAAACCTTTGTCTGATTACGGCGCCTCGCCGGCAAACCCTGCCAACGGTAACCCCAACAATGGAGCAGGCGCAGGTTCTGGTTCAGGAGCACCGACTGGCAATGGAACACCAACCAACACTGGTCCTGCTTCACCGGCATCAACTGGCAACGGAGGTGCGGGTGCGGGTGCTGGAGATCCCAACGCAGGTTCGGGCAACGCCGCTCCCAACGATGCTGCACCCAAAGCTGCCTCGGACTGCTCTGGTTGGAAGCTTCTTGGCTGTTTCAAGGATTCAAACATCCGAACACTCGACGGCGACCCATCAGACTACTTTGCTGGTAGCATGTCCAACGAGAAGTGCATTGAGCACTGCGCTTCCATGGGCTTCAAGCTTGCTGGTACAGAGTACGGAACGGAGTGCTGGTGTGGAAACATGTTCCAAATCGCAGAGCGTCTTCCGAGAGAGCAGTGCAACAAGCCTTGCGACGGTCTGTCTACAGACATTTGCGGAGGTGACTGGGCCGCCACCGTGTACAGTGCCGATGGTCAAGCGCTGAGCATGCCATCTGATGGCGATGCTGGCGACGGCTCCGGCGGCAATGGTTCTGGAGGCAATGGTGGCGCTGGCGACCCGAATTCCGGGAACCCTTCATCTCCACCTCAAGGCAACCCGCCCGCGGGGACTCCTGCAAATACACCGGCACCCACGAGCACCCCCGCGCCTGCGAACAATCCCGTGCCTGCAGCCCCATCTCCCCAGAGCCAACCAGCACCAGCTCCCGCAGGTAACCCACCAGCTGCAGTGACACCTCCACCAACGCCCACTCCCCCTGGATTATCACAGGCAGAGTTGGAGGCTCTTCTTCAGAGCATCATCAACTCCTTGCCAAAAGGAAGCCCGGATGGTGGATACGGCAGCGGTCTGGGAGCAAGGGACTCTGGGGCTGGTGGCAACAACGCGCCCGCAGGTACTGACAACGGCAACGGTGATGGCGGTCTTCCCGATCTTGGACCGCTTATGGGGCCGGGTCCCGTCATTCCTCCTGAGGGGCTCACTGGGTATGGCTCTGCAAAGAAGAGCATGGCCAACCGGTACATGAAGCGCAGCAGGATCATAGGACGCCGTGCGGTCGCGGATCATGATGCTGACTGTAATGACGAGGTCGATGGACACAACGGAGGCTGCGCTGGTGCGAAGGCCTAGAGTCGAAGGGTCTAATGTTATCACGACGTTACTGACATGTATGAATTATGGACGTTGGAGGAGTGGGTTTTGGCAAAAGAGCAGCAGTACAGACTTTACGGGTTCAGGACGAAACATGTCATACCGCTTGAACTCAGATAACGTAATTGATTGTTGCTTCAGTCTCACTCATAGCTGTTCCGTGGCCATCAGCTGCTTGATTATTTGATGTCTTGACCCTGTTGGTGATGATCTTCCTCTGCCTTATCTGACAAAATCTGTCGAGTCGCTCTTGCGTTTTCTAGATGTTGGTCGAGTAAACCATCTTGGACGTAGTGGTAGTAAAACACAGCAACTTCATTCGTCGCGTCCCTGAGGCCTGAACCAATATTTTCGAATGCGAACTCACCACCGCAGACAACACGTTTTTGGGCGGTATAACCCGGGTTGTCGACTTCAGCAAATAGCTCCTTTTGGGGCAACCATTTAATGAGGAGATAGCTGCCATAGCGGCTCTCAGTCCTTCTCACCGACATGGCGAAACGTTCCCGAGTTAGCGCCGGCTCCCAAGACGCGATCTCAACGTCGTCATCGTCGTCCACCTCGAACCTCTTGATCGCCAGGATCATTCGCGAGTAATAGCTGTCCATAAAGCGCTCAGGCAGGAACCACGAGACCAACTCGGCCTTGTCGGCCATGGCCATACGACTCTCAACCTCCCGCTCGTAGTGGGCGACGCACGCCTCTGCGCGTTCTTGGTTTGATGCGGTCTCTGGCAGGGGGAAGGTGACGACTTCGATCCGGTCTGGCGAGTCACGGGACTTGTCGATGCGGCGGCACATGGTGGTGCGGTCGAATAAGGCGCGCGCGAGGCGGGCGGTGCGGGGTGACCGGGCGGTGGCGGTTGTGTCATAGACGACGCAGCCGAAGGGGGCACGGAGGGGGCGGAGGGCAGATTCTGTTTCAGGGGTTGGTTCTGGGACTTCGTAGGCGGCGAAGGTTGGGTGGGCGGAGTGGCTGGGCGCGGGCTGGACGATTGTTTTCTGGGGTGGTATGGTGTAGGAGCCTGGGCGCGGGCTGTCGTCTTCTTCGTCGTCTTCGGACAGCGGGGGCGGTTTCCAGCCGTCGTTGCGGCGGATATTGCGGGTGCAGATTAGGCACATGGTTGAATTTGAGGTGTAAGTGTGAGAAGTTGAGGGGTTTGTTTGTGCTTGTCGGTGTTGTTGTTTTGTGGTGAAGGTGTTTTTGTTTTCTTCGTTGGTTGGTGGTGTCAATTTATAGGCAGAGGAAACGTGTTGACGGATTGATGGGTCTCTCTTCACGTTGCTCTGCACGGGGACCAACGGACTGATCCACTCCCACGCATGTTGCTGCCTAGAAGTGGAAGAATATCTGAACAGGCTTGAAGTCTGCTACAGAGTCTTGAGCAGTTTCGCAACGTGAACAAACTCTTAAATGGTGGGCACCACCACTAGATTGCAAGATCAAAAGCGCCAAATGCCAGCCAAGGACGCAATGGGGAGATAAAAGTTCCAGCCCTCACGAGGACTGAGACGACAAATTTTGTGGCCATGGTTCGGCTCAAATTTGTCGTTGTTCCCACTCCGTTTCGAATACATAGATAGAGAATGAAAAGTCATCCAGAGCCGTATTTGTAGTCGATATCCGATTCCCGAGCAACACATCTGCCTCATGAGTGAATACCTCAGGCATGGTCAATTCCGTCCGATAACAGAGAGAACTCTTTATAGAAGCGGTGTCTACTCACAGAAGCTTGGATGCTTGCTAAGCAGTAGCAAATTCAATACTTCAAACAGACATTCAAGATAAGTGAGATTACTGAAGAATGCCAACGAACCACAAATCCCAAGGCCAGTGAGATCACCCGTTCCTATGCTCGTATCCATGCCATTTGATAGTGAGATCCAGTAGGAATGCTGTAGATGAAAGTTGAGACTGAATGAAATACTTTAATGGCGAATAGTCTACATAGGAGTGTTTATGTACTGACTTGCTGAACTTCCAGTACGTCTTGAGACGATTATTTGCTATAATGTGTCTTATACCTCAATGCGCATATTTCCTGAGGACTTTCCTACTGCGGCAGGAATCCAGATTGCTTCAGCCGGCGTAGGAATTCGGCTTTTTCTAGAAAGTGAATACGAGTTAGCTTGATTTCATGCCAAGAGAAATTGAAATTCCAGACATGTACTTGCCTTCTGCAGAAGAAAACACTATCTCCATCTTATTAACGACTTTCTCCTGGAGAGCATTTTGAAGCTCTAGGGCGTCAATGGGAATGAATGGGTATTCCTCAACTGTTCGTCGTTCAGAGACGGTTTGGAGAAAAACAGTTGCGCGAATTCTCGGTTTCAGAGGTAACAAGTGCATTTGCTTGATGATGACTCGAGGGCTGCCGGGTTTGTCGCTCAGCTTCCAAGTCTTCTCTCCAATGTCGAGAACCACGCAGATTCTGTCTTTAGTTGACGGATGGTGCACCCAAAACATCAGCTTCCAGTCAGTAAGGCCTTTAGGCTTTATGTTGGCAAAGCTGGGTCGTCTGCCTACGGCAGGAGAGAGAGGTGTCCGTCCGAACCGACTGTCGTACTCTTGCTCTGAGAGCAGATGCCACAGCTGAACATTACCGTGTATGTAGGAAGTGTGATCGTTCATGACGCAGCGCTCAATGCGAAACTCTGTGCTGTTGGATAAAGGTTTACGCTTGATCTCCTGACGTGTTACCAATGCAACAAATTTCCGGTATTCATCGCCACGAGGGAAAGGAATAGTATGGGTCGGATGAAGACCATTAAACCATACTGCTTCCATGCCTTCGGTTTTCATGTCTTCATGACCTAAGTCTTCGCGTTCCCGGTCGTCTTCTTGCTCGGTCCGCCAGAATGCCGCAGGCGCAAACGTAATCAAGTCGCAGGAGTTCTCATCCTGCTTGGGCGGATCGCTACCCAGTTCCAGCTCAATTGTAATCCTCTCGCCTGGCTGTTGACGTTGTTCAGAGGGCATCAAAATGCCGTCAGCCTACTTCGAGTCCCGATATACGGCTAAATTCGCGGGATATCTTCGTTGATACCTCCCAATCCGATATTCCACCACCCAATTCTCACATCCGCACATCATGTGATCTTGACCCTCTGGCCGTCTGATTTGCGTTGTGCGTTTGAAGAGTTGTGCAAGATCTTTCGTGGTATCTTGAGCCTGGTGAACTATAACGGGTATATTCCCACCAGACAGCTCTTCACATGCAACTACAAGCATCCGAATACACTCGCCTGTCATAGCATCCCAGAGCCGGACCGTCTTATCAGTCGATGCAGAGGCAAGCAACTGGCCGTCCGGCGAAAATGCTACTGAGACAACCCGATCAGAATGTCCCTCAAGTGTCTGGCGGGGTGCGCCTGTTATAGCATCCCAGAGCCGGATTGTCGCGTCAGCTGGTGTAGAGGCAAGCACCTTGCCGTCTGGAGAGAATTCTACTGAGATGACTTCGTTGTTGTGGTCCTGAATTACTGTTGCAATGCCTCTTACAGAGTCCCAGAGTCTGTATGTCTTATCGTATGATGCGGAAGCAATCCTCCCGCTGCCCGGCATGAACGTTCATGAGCTGACCAGACCTTCATGTCCATGGAGCGCCATTACGCAGGCGTCTGTTTTGATGTCCCAAATCCTGATAACGAAGTCGTCCGATGCATACGCAACTAGAAGAAGGCTTGGAGAAAATGCTACCGAGCTTATCGTCAAAGCTCGAGTAGATGCTGACCGATTGGAAGTGATGCTTTGATTGGCCTGTGGACGAGAAGACTTATCCTCAGATCTATCGTCGAAGTAGCTGTTTATGAGGAAATAGTTGCTATGCTCAGGCATGTTGACATTTGCTTTAGTGGAGTGGTCTGCTCTATCATAGTGGCATAGATCTAGAACTGGACGTGCAGCAGACTCGTGAGCCACTGTGTTGATCCAACGTGGGATCTCACCTGTATTTCCCTTTGACGAATTGAAGCTACCGGGTGGTATGTTTAGATCATGTAAGATGGGTGGTGGCCATGGAAGAGCTCGGAGTGCGAATTCGTAGGTGTGACGCAATACATGGTCGACCAATTCCGGCGAGTCCTCCGGTCCACATGAAGAGCACAAGGGACAGGACTTGATTCCGAATGTCTGCACTGCAGACCAAGAGAGAAGCGTCGAAAGGGAGTTGTCAGAGAGCTCGTCTTTGTGATCAAATTGAAGATGATTACCTATACTCTCCATTGTATCGTATTTTGCATCTTGGGTTTCGCAAAATGGGCATTGCCAGCGGGGCAAATGACTTTTTTGTACATGATTTTCCCATTCCCTTCGTGTGCAGAAGATGAGATGGGGTGTGGGACAGTTCTCAGCAATACAAGTGTAAGGACATAAGTCCTCAATCACATGCTGCCTTTCGTGTAATTTGTTAGATCGGCTTTTACATGAGTGTGCTCGACGGTCCCGGGGGGTGGGCTGGGCTTTTACCTAATTCCACTTCTTTGGATTGCTTAACGTATCAATCGGCAAGGATTGACAACAGCAAGGGCAATTTGCTATCTCTCGACCCGAAAGTGTATGCGGGGCTCGCGGAAATTCGGCATCAGTAGCGATTAAGGTAATTTGCGTCTTTGCCACTCCTGTAGATAGACCGCCCTAGGGTTGACGCGACCCTCGGAGATCTAGTCTTCGCAGTTGTCGTTTATTACTCTTGTATAGTTTTACTAGAGATATCTTCTATGCAGACGGGAGTCCACATGTGATCTATTTTGTCCCCATCGTGCTCGTCCGTGTCGTTAATCTTTCCCACATCGTCAGTATTTTCTCCCAGTCTTACTGAGTGAATGAGTGAATAACAAGTCGAGTTAGCAGGAATGCTTTGCGATACGAACTAGTCTTGTATTGAAAGCACCATAATCAGTTTCGTCTGGCAATCTCTAGCTGTAGGTCGAGTACGCCATCGGGTATAAAGTGGTTGTAGAAGACTTCAACCGCATCCACTAACTCCATACAGATATTCCCACACATCTCAAACCCATAGCAGGGGGTGATGATCTCTTTATCCATATCCGGCTTATAACCTCGACCCGTGTGTGAACGCCACAGCTCCTTACGGGGCTGCCAGTCGATGCAAAGAAAACTGCCAGTACGGCTCGCCTCGGGATTCATACAAGCTTCACACTCGATAGCGTATTCTTCGTTGCTTATCGATTCCTCCCAGGACGCTACCTCGACTTCCTCGTCATTATCGTTTTCTTCCAAGCGGTTGATAGCAAGGATCCTCCGCGCGTAGGTGTTATCCATAATACGCCCCGGCAGAAACCAGGAGACCGCCTCGGGCTCGTGAGGTATTAACAAACGGCTCCGGATCTCCTCCTCGTGGTGGCGGATGCAAGCCTCCGCGCGCTCTGCATCTGTGAACGACTGGGGCAGGGGTAGCGTGACGACCTCGACCCGGTCCGGTCTGTGGTTACGCTTCCTACGATACCAGTAGGTGCGGTCAAACACGGCGCGTGCGAGCCGCGCACTGCGGGTAGGGCGAGCGGTGTACGTCGTGTCGTAGACCACGATACCGAACGGGGGACGCAGAGGCCGGACTGTAGCTTCAAAGTCTTCTGAGTTCAAGTCTTCTGGGGTGTTTTCGAAGACTTGGTACGCGGCGAAGGTTGGAGCGCCGTCATGACTGGGCGCAGGCTGGACGACGGTCTTCCATGGAGTTGGCGGATGAAAATATCCCGCTTCCACTGCCGTTTCCACCAGGTCTTCGTCGCATATTTGCTGCTGGACCTCCTCCTGTCCGTTCGATGGAATGAAAGACCAAGGGGGACGAGGGCAAACTCTACACATTGTGATGCTCGTTCTTTATGAATGAAGAGCTTGGATCAAAACGCCATTTTCTTTTTCCTGTTGTTGTTTCCGGGGAGTTTTCACAGAGAGGAATTGGTGGGTGTGGTAACCAACACACGCATACCTATGGAAGACTCAATTGGCCGGGCTGCAACTGTGTTTCCACTTGCAACAGTGGATCGGTTCAATAAACTGCCCGGACGAAGCGGCACAGCAAGGATACTCGGGACAAGGAAAAGCTGAGAGGGCCTCAACCGTTGCCCGGGCAGCTGACGTCGTGTCTCCCGGGCTCCCGGCTAGCCATTTGGATTAACACTCATTGGACACACCTAAAGCTTGATACCCCTTTCTCACAGGCCATGCGTGCTGATTTCTCCATTCCTCTAAAACCCCCAGCAATGCTGTCCTTTCCCATGGGTCATTAAAGTAGTCGCCATATAGCATGATACCCATTCCCGCCGTGGTCAAGCTGGGCGGGGCTCTGAGGTGATGCAGTGCCAGACCGCAAAGCTCGAGGATCATGGCGCGAACTTGGTGTTCCGCATCTCTCTGCGCGCGTCGATTGGACACTTGCCCGCTGCGTCGCCGGGTACATTAGCTTTCAACGAACAAGCGGCAAAGGGTTCTCAAAGCAGGCTTTTGGGAGGCTTCATACTGTAAACTAGGATCCTCGGCCACCAGAATCATCCTTGCCAAGATGAAGTGTTGCAGGGCAGTGACCTCGATGTCCGACCCGTACCATACCAATGGAAAGATCTCACCTTGGGACCTATCCGCAGGCCGCTGCACAATGGGGATGAATTGACGGGCTGCCTCGACGATCAAAACCTTCTCCTCGTTTCTTAGCCTCTCTGCAAGCATGTGCGTTAGAGCTGCGATCCACCCATGAATATTCTCATCCCAGTTGAAGAACAGTTACGGGAGACTTACCCCACTCAGCTCCTGACCTCTCTCCCATCTTCCACTTAGCAACTTCAGACATGAACCAAATGAGCTTATTTGCGAAGCAAGTATCTCTGTCCAAGTCTGGCGGTTGCGCTGTTATCTGTGGAGACCGCTCCAGCGTCAAGGCGAAGTAGATCTCCTGCCGGACCGCTACCCAGTACACTGCACTCAATAGCCCCGACCACCGTGACGGCGCAGCTCGCAAGATCGCCTTGGTAATATCGAGAAAGTTGACATGGCCAATACCGTTCCCAAAATCGGAGTTTGTCGCGCTCTGCGCCTCTTCAGGATCCATCTCCTCAAACTGGCGCAGAATAAGCGCGGCGGCGGCCAGATTCTCTCTGTACTCCTCGTCCTGCGTCCGCGAAACCTCATGCAGGGCAGGTATGCACCGCAGCATGTACTCGATCGCGCTCTGCGGCGTCAGGTCCGGCAGGAGCTGATTCTGGTACATGACCACGCCGCCGGGCTCAGTGCGGAATCGCGGGTGCCGGCAGAGGTGCCGCGCGGCGACGGCGAGGGTGGCGTCGCGTAGGGGCTGGCACGCGCGCGCGCGGCGGGTGACGATGAGCTGGAAGTGCCTCTCTTCGTCGCAGAGATCGAACTACACCAGACGGTTAATACTTTGGACTTCCCACGGCATAGGCGTCTCTGAAAGCACGTAACCCATTGAGAGAGCTCCTCCGTGAAGTAACGCAGGAGGCAAGCTTCTTGGATGCCGTCGCTCGGCGGGTGGGTGTGCAGGCCGCCGACGGGGTCGTGTTCGCTGGGCTGATGGTAGCTGTCTGCTGAAGGAGAGAACTGATCGACGGTGACGGAGGGACCGGTGGCGTGTGGACTGGGAACATGTGGTTCCTCGTTCAGACGGATTCTGCCAGTGGGCAGAGCTGTCGTCGACCATGGGGATGCACCCGATGTGCCGGAGCCTGATGGCGATGCTGGGAGGAATTGACCTCCATCATGAGGAACAGTCTCGGTTCTTCGTCTCTTAGTGGGAGTTGGTAGGCGTTGTGATTGGACATCGTCAAGTCTCCTTTCGTGATTCAATACATCAGGTGTTTCTGAGAGGTTGCGGACGGCTTCGTGGAGGGCGGTGTTCACAGCTATGCGATCGGGGAGAGATGTAGTGTTACTGATGGGAGACTCATTGTTGGCATCCTGAGCCTGTGGCCCCCCGCCTGTCTTGTTGTTGCGGCTATCAAAACGGACTTCGTGAGAGCGTCAGCCGACTCATTGGCGAAGACAAGCAAAGGGAGAACATGACTCACATGCTTTCGGTTTGCTGTTCACCCACCGCTGCTCCCGAGAGAATGCACCGTCGTAGTTGGCCGTCGAGCCCTGGCGGAAAGAAGGCCTTCGTTGGGGGCGAACACACTCAACACCACGCTTCTCACATCGACTACAGCGGGGCTGCTGGTCGTCACCTGCATGTTGAACGAACCAAAGTCAGAATTGGAAACCTGCATAGCTCAATGGCACCGGACAAACGCCAAGAATCTTCAGCCGGAGTCAAGGCCGAGAACGCTATCGGCATTCCATCGGTCTTCATCCGGGAAGAGCCTCCTCCATCCCAAGGAAACGGGCCTCAAACTCACACTTCTCATGTCTCTCTGCACACCTTTGACGTCAGACTAGTGGAACCTGTCAAATGGTCACGCGCGACCAGGCCAAATCCAAGCGCGAAGAGGGACGCACGTACCTTTGCATCTTGCGCAAGGCTTCGTACCGCTTGGCATCTCCTGTGGGGTGAGCGGGATCCGTGGCCCTCACGCTGCGGCTGCTGCTGTTGTTGCGGCTGCTGCTGCTGACGCGGTATGCTGGCGGCGGCGATGTGAGCAGCAGGATTCCTCCGTCGAACTCGCTTTGGAAAGTCTCGCCTACGCCGTCGTCGCTGGCCCGTGTTCGGCGAGGAGGTGGAGGTCGATAAGGGTGGCGGGAGCTGGGATAGGCGGACGAGCGAGGAGGAGGAGAGGAAGCGGAGCAGCCTCATCGGCGAAGCTTGCTCAAAGAGGGAATTGCTGAAGAAGAAGAAAGCAAGGGCTGATATGTGGGGAAGATGGTTCGCTGTTCGCCGATGGTTCCGCGTCCCCGTTGAAACGTGGTCGGGCGAAGCTCAGATTGTGAAAACGTGCATTAAGCGCCCAGAAGGAGAAGAAAACAACTCGTTGTAACGCTTCACAGAATAGGACCAACCCGTCTTAAGTGTCCAATTTACCCCGCACTCCAAAGCTGTCTTTCCCCCGCAAAACCAGCCGCCGGCCTTGGGGCGATTCATATCTGGGGCAGCGGATGGAAATTACTGCATCTGGTAGGTGGTGCCGATAGTAGATCCCGAGCGTGTTGTTTCGAAAGCGGTTTGGCCAGCTTTGCGAGACTCCAGACCGCCGAAAGACAAGATGGCATTCGGCATCTTTGGGTGACGGAGTTCAGACCGGCTTGATCTTGTGGTCTGCAGCTGTTTTGAACCTGCCAAAAGATACCGGGAAGGGAAGGAGCCGCCGATGTTAAAAGAGACCCTTCATCGCCCATGGTCTTTGAGTTGGAGGAGCTCTGTACTGCGCTGTCATTCTCCTACATCATCATAGACGTCTCTGCGCCATTCTGAAGCTTTCACAACATCAATTGAACTCTGGAAGACTCAATCTTTTTCTAGAAATCTTTTCGGTTCTCTTCAAGCCACAAAATCTCACAAAATGTCCGGAGAGAAGCTCAACGTTGCCGTCGCCGGCCTTGGTCGCATGGGTATGTCTCGCCCCGCATTCCCCCGAGCCCGTGAGCTCAAGGGAGCTCCCACAGCTTCGGCGAAGCGGAAGCTCATGGGCTCAGATCGAGCCGATGTGAGCTGTTCTCGCTAACACCGGTCAACAGGATTGCGACACGCCAGACACTTTGCGACCCTGACACCCAAGGCCAACCTCATCGCCGTCAGCTCACCGGTGCAGGCCGAGCTCGATGCCGCCGTCGCAGAGTTCGGTCCTTTGAGGACGTACATTGACTACGATGAGATGCTTCGCAAGGAGTCGACGCTGCAGGCCGTCATCGTTGCGAGCGCGACCACGGTGCACGCCGAGCAGGCCATCAAGGCCATTGAGAAGGGCCTGCACGTTCTGTGCGAGAAGCCTCTGAGCACAAACGTCGATATCGTATGTTCATCTTCCCGTCTACTATTGCCAACCATGTGATACGAGCTCCGCATTGCTGACCATCGATGCAACAGTCGCAATCCGTCGTCGATGCCTACGAGAAGTCGCTCGTCAAGAACCCCAACCAGAAGGTCATCTGCGGATTCTCCCGCAGGTTCGATGCGTCTTACCGCGACGCCTACCAGAGAGTTGCCCGCGGTGACGTAGGCACGCCGTCCGTCTTCCGCTCCCAGACCTGCGACAAGCTCGACCCCTCAGGCTTCTTCGTTGACTACGCCGAGTTCAGCGGTGGTATCTTCGTCGACTGCTCCATCCACGACATTGACCTGGCTTTGTGGTTCTTTGGCGAAGACAGCGTCGTCAAGAGTGTTTCCGCCATTGGCATCACCGCCGTGCAGGAGGGTCTGAGGAAGCACAACGACAGAGACAACGCCGTTGCAGTTGTCGAGTTCTACGTAAACAAACCCACCCCATACAGCTCTCTACACTTGTAGGTCGACTGACTAACACATGCGGAAAAATAGGGCGGCAAGATCGCGCAGCTTTTCTGCTCCCGCATGATGGCCGCCGGCCAGGAGGACACGACCGAGATCTTTGGCACGAGCGGCAAGATTGCCGTCAACACGCAGCCGCAGCTCAACCTCGTCAACCTGTACGAGCCCACGGGCATCCGCCGCGAGATCCCGCCCGACTACTACGGCCGCTTCCGCGAGGCCTTCATTACTGAGGCCAACGAGTTCACCGCGTGCTGCCTGAACAACACCGCGCCGCCCATGAAGCTCGTCGGCGCCGTCAACGCCGTCAAGATCGGCTGCGCGCTGCAGGAGAGTCTGATCACGGGCAAGAAGATCGACTTTGACGAGTCGGGCAAGCGCATCGAGAGTGCGCGCTTGTAGGCGGTGTTATATAGATGCAGGCAAGCAGGTGGCAGGCGCGTGGATGATAACCCATGATGAATAGGGAAAATGTTTACGATGATGAAATTTTAGAGATCACCCCTGGTTCTCTGCATGTTCTAGATGCGTGGGGGTTTTCCGATGTAGTCACGAGGCTCTTTGTAGACACGTTAGAATAGGAAAAACAACGTGTTTCGTCGTCATAATCTGCCCCTGTCACGATGGTCCGGACAGTTTCCGTGGTCACATGGCGCATGTTTGATCCAAACTTGCGCCCGGTCGTTCATTTCTTTCTTCTTCGCTGCTGTTCCTGCGCGTTCTATTCGCAGCGGTGCAATCTTATCGCAGCTGGGTCCGCTCGTTAATGACGTAGGCGCCAGGTCCCTGGTCGAATTGACTGCGCTGACACGGGTCAAGACGGGTCACTGAAAGATGAGGCTTAGCTGGGTCGGCGCAAATGATCCCATCGCCGACGTACGCCCTGGTCAGTTGCGATGCCGTCGTTGTGGCCCCATCATTCAACAGATCACTCAGCCAATTGTGTGTGTCATGTAAGTCAGACGATGTTATTTTTTGGTTCTTTTGCTGACTGTTCATCCCCCCTGTTCCGCAAAGGGTAAATCGGGAAATTACCTATTCTGGAGCGCGGTTTACGCGGACGGGATCGGAGGAGGGATTGTCCTTGGCTGGGGAATCGTGCCTGAATCTGTGGAATTCCCTGATTAGCTTGTGCATTGCGATGGGGACTTGCAATGGGGGAAAATACTCCTAGCAAAACTGCATATCACTTCTCCAGCTGATCGCGTCTGAAGTTGACCGCGGGTGACCTCTTCTGCTGCCAATTGTCAATGGGATTTCCCTTCCTTTTGTGTAAAGGGAGTGCATTGAAGATGCCTGTCGTCGGACCTTGAATCCCGCGGGTTATGCCAATCAATGCCTAGATCGGGACACGACGCACTAGCGAATTCCGAGGGTTATGAGCTTGGCCTTTAGGGGGACTGGCTGCGCTGTTCACATAATGTGACAATTGAACCTCCGGAATCTCTACGCCAGCGCGGGACTGCATCCCGATTCACCCCGGCCCCAGACAACGGTCAAGAATAACGAGCTATGGGGCCATGTCGTCATAGCAGATTCATAAAGATACAACAATCGTCAGCCCCAGAAACCAGATTTCCCCAGGCTTTTTTCGGGGCGCGATTGATTCAACAACCACGCACAGCGCGGGCTATCTTTGATCCTCCCCATGTTCCGCTGAGTGAACGCTGCGCCCAGAGCATCCCCAAGGCCAACCAACCACATGCCCTTGTCCGGGTCCTCGGCGTCTCAGAAGTTCAGTGGGAAAATGGCTAAGAATGGCCGCTAGTGTGACAACGGACCGGGGTACGAACAGAAAAGCGCAGGCCTTCGCCGATGGGTTCCCAAAGAGGAATCACGTCGGCTACAAGTCCGCAGTCATGACGCCCAGCCGCAGCTAAACTCGCCGGTGGGCAGTCCAGCCCAAGCAGCCAACCAGATACCCCTGTTACGGTGGCTCGCTTTAACCCTCTCTGCTCACCACGTTCAGACCGAGAGTCGTGCTCTCCTCTCGTTCCCTTTTCCCGTAGTAATGTCTCTTTCGCCGATGGTTGGCGAAGGTTGTGGTTGGTCTCCACACTTTGGTGTCTTCCCCGTGGGGGAGGATGCAGTCGACAAGGACCGTGTTCCACTCTGCCGGTGGGGAGGGTTAATGCTGGTGCCGTCCGTCCATACGTAGTGTACTCTTCGCCGGGAAATGACAGAAGCCTGGCACGAACTGCCTTCGCGCCCTCACTTGCGTTGCCCCCCTAGTCTGTAAACGGATGGGTCCCGTCTGTAGCCCAGAAATCCTGTTCTTGGTATCCCCCTCTTGGTTGTTCATTTGACTACTCAACACCAAGTCTTGAACACAACTATATATAAGAGCCGCTCTTCTTCGTCTCACCTGACATTTGGGTTTCGTCTCATTCTAAGCACGCTCCCTCCCCCATCCATTCCTTCAACCTGAGCACAACCTCCTGTGGTGTAACCCTATCGACACCATCCCATCCTGATCATCATCACCACACACCCCTCAAGTGCCACGACATCGACGACGATCATGTCAACCAGCCCAGACTCACAGACCCTTAAAAAGGTCAAGAGCATCGACAACGCTCACGGCGAGCACGTCGAGGACTTCATCGACAGCGTCGAGATCAGCCTCACCCCCGCCGAGGATGTCTCATACGGCCGGGGCGGCGTCCGCGGCCTCTTCGACTCGCCCTTCGTCGGCGGCGCCGCCCTGCTGGCCTCCCTCGGAGGCTTCAGCTTTGGCTACGACCAGGGCGTCATCTCCATCATTAACGTGATGGAGCAGTTCCACGCAGTCTT